AAAAAAAAAAAAAAAAAAAAAAAAAAATACCATTTCAACATGTAACCCATATGAAAACAATTCAACTATTTTTCATTCTTTTTAATGTCCTCAAAATCTAGTATGTATCAACACTGACTGCACAACTCAGTTCAGACTAGTCCTATGTCAAGTGCTTAATGCATGTGTGGCTTTCCTGCTGGGCTGTGCTGAGCTAGACCTTAGCTGTCACCCCTACATGGCAAAACTTACAGCTAGATCCAGGTCATGAAAAACATTTTGGCAGAGCAGAAGTCATGATCTTTCTCTTGCTACTTGGCTGCTTAAACTTTATTTGTCCTCTGTTTTTAACTGAGCTCTTAACTTTATTTGTCCTCCATTTTTAACTGAGCTCCTTGGAAAGGCTAACAGGCAGAGCTGGATTGAGTTGCAACATCTCCTGGGCTTCTCTTTGTCAGGCACTCACTAGCATTTACAGGACATCATGCCCCACCCAGGAAGCTCACAAACTAAAAGAGGGGCCAGACAATTACCAGCTATAAGAGAAGTACCCACAAGACTCCGAGGGGTGCAAAAAAGAAAGCCATTATCTTCCATCTGTGAATTCCGATGTGCCAGGGAACAAGTAGAAAGTTTAAGGCATTTACTAACATGACATGAGGGAGCATTCCTCTATAACCTCACCTTTCTCAACTTGTATTTCCAACTGTACTGACTATACTTTAATTTGCATTAAAAACACATATGGCATAAAACACTCATCCAAAAAGGCACTCAGTAAACAGACACGTGAGTGATTTTAATAAAAATAATCAGTTATTCACTAAGACATCATTTTTCAAGTTAATCCTCCCAGAGTGTAAGGAGACTAAAATTGAGGAAAAGTGTAAAAACTGTATCTGTTGTTCCACAGATAAACATATTCTTTGAACCTGTCTTTGGAAAAATTAGAGACATAAAGGAAAATATGAAAACACTGTTAGTACACTTAACTACTATGCATTCCACATAGGACTTTACTTTCTCATTAGAACAAAGATGCAAAACAAAACTTCAAGATGCACTCTCTACCCCAAGTTGCTGAGCAAAAAACTATTTTGTGGTGAAAGGAGCCCTTGGCTAAGGCAAACCTCTTTATAACCTCACATTTGTGTTCCACTAGTTCAAACCAATCATAATGACTTCTTTGTGGAAAATGTATTTTGCATTAAATTATCAAAAGCTTCATTGAAGAACTTCACAGATAGGGCTGGGTAAAAATACTAAACAAAGTCAAGAGAACCACTTATCAAGTCAGCATTATTTCAGTGGTCTTCAGGCATGAGCTAAGATTGTAGAATGGCCAAAGAAAAGTTAATTACATACTACAAAAATTGTAAATTTTATGTTTCAGTTTAAGAAACTCACATCTGGATAAGTCCTTTCCTCCCTGAACCCCAACTCATCCTCTTCCAAAACAAATCTCCCAAAAACTTAACACTGAAAACTTACCTTGGTACATTAACTTTAAACAAACTTTGTAACTTCTCATTTAATCCTATGCATTAAACTCTTCATCACACCATCTACTGAAATGTAGCTAATACTATAAAATTATACCTCAGGATCCATGACTTCACTTCACAGATATAACCATTAGCTGTGCATAAAAATTTAGATTATCTTTGAAGCCCTATCTTTCAACTCAAGTAACAGTACTTAACTTATAATTAGCTTGTAAAATAGTATTTATCACCAAAAAAAAAATTCATGCCTGTCTTTACATTAAAAAAATACACTATCTCACCCACTATTCCTAGTTTCAGGGAAGGAGAAACTATTTCCATGCATTAAGCCACCACCTACAGAGACCAGTGTATGCATTTTGCTTGAAAAGGACCTGGTTATTTAGAGAAAATAGCTTAATAACTGCAAGTGTGAAGCTTCTGCTGTGAAAGTGTGAAAAGTGATACTAGCTTCCAGAAGGTCTTTAAAGAGCATATTTACCACAGAGCCCTGTTAACTCATTTAGTAAGCAAGCAAGTTCATATATATGGGATAACATTTTCACGAGTAGAACAGTTACAAGCACTAAGAACTTCTAAGGCTGAAATGAGTTCATGAGCAGTAATACCAGCAATAATAAAACTTCTAGCTCCTTTCCCTAAGGATGGGCCCTAAAAAAGTACTTTTAGGGAAAGGAGCTAGAAGGTAGCAGGAGATATGCAGCCAACCTGTGCAGCTGCTGGGACGTTTGTCGTTTCTGTCCACCACTTCACAGGTGTGCCCAACCTCTGACAAGTGACTCTGAGGTTCTTTCCAACTCTGTAACATTGGCAACGGTCCGCCTGATTTGCCTCACTGAAGCCTATGAAGACAGAGCTGAATGGGATTTAGAAATATCACTTTGTTCCACTGTCAAATTTGATGACTTTGTTGAGTTAGCCTTCATCATGAAGTACAATCTAAACTTAAAAGACTCTGTACTGGATTTCCTGATAACTACCAAATTACTTCTATCTTGTTCATGTACGGCAAGCTAATCTGGACAAATGGTCAATGTGATTGCGGTGACTAATGATCAAGACATGACCCTTTTCCATTGGTGGGGAACAGCATGTTAATCAACACGGACTCAGCCCCTCACCAGGGTTACCAGGACTGTATGTACCCAAAGTCACAGGCTCAAGGGCCAAATCAAGCCTGCAGATATTTCTTTTCAGCTTGTACAATGTTTTCAAAGATCTAAATTAGTTGTCAATGTTGAAAAAGGGTATCTGGCATCAATTTTGCATTACTGGGTTATCTTGCAATATAGGAAAACCCACCACCCTGAGACCACATGCCCTCACAGCCACAATTAGGCATGGCCCAAACAGGGAGGGGCAAATACTCTCTAGTTTACCAGTCTCCACCAGGTCCGTTCCTTCCATGATTTTGCTGTTGGCCTCTCTGTATTTATATTAGCCACTCTTGGTTCAAACCCTACAACTGCCTTCAATTCCTGAAATAAAAACCTACAACCTAATCTGATCAGTACTATGTCCGAACCCTTTGAGCAGTAAGTCCAAAGAGGAATTTAAGCAGAAAACAAACCATTTTCATGGTTCTATGGTGGTACTGCTTTTATGAACTAGTTCATTTTTTTAAAAGTGTCATTTTCGCGGTGGCTCAAGCCTGTAATCCCAGCACTTTGGGAGGCTGAGGCGGGTGGATCACGAGGTCAAGAGATCGAGACCATCCTGGTCAACATGGTGAAACCCCGTCTCTACTAAAAATACAAAAAATTAGCTGGGCATGGTGGCGCGTGCCTGTAATCCCAGCTACTCAGGAGGCTGAGGTAGAAGAATTGCCTGAACCCAAGAGGCGGAGGTTGCAGTGAACCGAGATGGCGCCATTGCACTCCAGCCTGGGTAACATGAGTGAAACTCCGTCTCAAAAAAAAAAAAAAAAAAAAAAAAAAAAAAAAAAAAAGAGAAAACACCGTCTCAAAAAAAAAAAAAAAAAAAAGTATCATTTTCAAAAATAATTGTCATCTCTCTTCACACTTTTGATTAGTAAGCTATTAATTTTCTATAAATGATCAGGTCCCTTTCAAGCAAAATATCATTACTATGTAAAGCCTGGTGGTTAAAACAAGATGTCGTGGTTACACACTTTAGCTTAAAGTGAAGTCACACCTGAAACCTAATGTTTTGACCTGAACTCATCACTGCCACAAAATTTAATAACGTTTAAAAAATGTTGGTTTGACAGTTTGACATATCCTCCACTCCCATCAAAACATGGAATACATCAGTTACAGGGTTTTAAAAGGGGATTTTAGTTGCCACACACAGCCTTCAAGCAGATTCAACCATCCACACATCAAGTGCTTCTTACCCGGGCATTGCTTACCCATTGCACTGAGATAGTGGTTGAAGGCCTGGCAAGTAGGACTTGGGGTTTGTGTTGATTTGTCACAACTCATGGGTGCTGGGCTCCTGTCTGTGTCAAAAGAGAAATACCCACTGGAGGATCGAGACAGCACGGAGGATCTTCTCACAAAGATGAAAAGCGGGGATCTGGTAGCAAAAGGGCCAGGGCTGGCCGGTGGGGCCAGCGGGCCCTGAGGGCTGCCGTGGGGGCAGCTGTCCCCTTCACCTCCGTGATTGCCTTCGGGATTACCTTGTGGCTCTGTCTGTAGGGAGGTAGGGGCCCCAGGTCTGAGCTGGGGAGGTCTCTCCGCAGGCTGCAATTGTCTACCTTCTCGGTCACACTCAGAACTTACATCGGAAGGTTGCTTTGCCATTTGGTCTTTTTTTCTGCAAGCAAAATAAAAACTAAGATTATTTTAAGCAAAAAAAAAAAAAAAATCAATGAATAAACAAATTAGCTCTCACTAATCATTAAAAATTCTTAGGGTTAATCCCCAATACTTTATGTTCTATACTTTTCTGACAATCTCCCAAATAATAAAAATGTACCTAAAATAATAAAGACATAATTTTTTTTTTGGTAGAGGGTGGGACTAAACTTCGTAACCCCCAACAAAATACAGTAACAATGTCAACAGCTTGTGAAACTGGTGCACACACACACGCACGCATTTCCAAAGTAGTAGTTTATCTCAAGTCTATTCATGTGTGCTCTTTGCCCAGAACAGACTTAAGTCAGAAATTCCCTGCGGCTCTGATTTCCCGGGGTTAGTTAGATACAAGGCTGGAGCATAGGAGAGGGCGCAGATGCAGCGACTGCAGGCGGCTGGCCGTGTTCCCTGCTCCGGCCCCATTGTTTGCCGAAAATGCTGAGGACAGCAAGTCTGGGGAAGGTTTGGCAGCGGCCGTCAGTCGTAGTAAGTGCGTCACAATAGAGTTTGTAACTCCAGCGCGGCTCGGCCGCGCTCGGGGCTCTCCACCCGTGGTCCCTCCCTCCCGCTCCCGTACCGCGCGCCGCACCGAACCAGACAGAACTTCTTCGAGGTGCAGCCGCACGGTGAGGTGCACACCTCCAAATCTGGGGGGTCCCCCCGAAGCCAATCCCTACCAAGTCCACAACTAGGTCCGAATGCTAGGCAACACTGGTGCGCACCCCCTTCACCCCACAGAACCTCCCCTCAGAAGGCAATCACGCCGAAACTCACGTCCGAGCCTTCCCTTCAGAGCGCAGCGTTCTGGCCCGGGACCGGGCCCCGCGGCGTCCGACCCGCGCCCTTCGCCGAGCCGGCGGCCCCTGACCGTCACCACGAAGGCAGCTCAGGAGACAAAGCCCGGGACTCGGATTCAGAGTCCCCGGCACAGCACAGAGCCCACGCCTTCCCGCCAGCCCGCCGCTGCGCTCCGCCGGACAGCCGACGGCTCCGCGCGCTGCGCCTCTGGCCCGCGCGGCCCCGGTCGCAGCCACCGGGAACATCCTCCGCCTCCTCCCGCTCCTCCCCTTGCGCTCTGCGCCCGCCGCCGCCGGCACCACCGACCTCCCCGCGCCGCTGGCGCCGGGTGCCCGCGCTCCCAATTGGTCCGCGCGCGGTGGCTCCGTGCCGCAGCCAATCGGCAGCCACGGTGGGGGCGGCGCCTACGGGTCAGGCCGCCAAAGGCGCGGCGATTGTTGACAAACTCGCCTCGGAGCGCGGCTCGGGCCGTGGCCGTGGCGGCTGCTTCGCGGGAGGATTTGGGGACCGGCTGTCCCGGCTACCCTGCCCCGTCCCTGTGCTCCTTCCGGACAGAGACCCAGCAGCTCCCGCCGCTCCGGGCAGCGGGTCACCTGTAGACAAAGCAGGACTTGCGCCGCGCCCGCACCCACAGGGCCATCCGCAGGCCCAGAACCCGCCACTGGTCCTTGTTTTGGACCGTCGGGGGCAGACCCCAACGGCCGTCACAGCCCTAGCTGCGGCAATTATTCTCCTCCAACAACTTCCTCTCTTTCTCCTTGTGCGCGGCAGACACCAGTCAAAGCCGAAGGGCCTCCCCTGGCCACAGACGCGCAGGTCCGCGATCATCTAGTAAATCGACACCCTCCGCCCAGGCATCCGTCGGGCCCTCCACCAGTAGCCCCCACCCTGGGGCAACAGGTCTCGGAGGCCACGGCGCCACCAGCCTGCACCGCGAACAGGGTCGATGTGCTTGGGCACGCGTAAGTTGTTGAGATAGCTCGGCCCCAGGGACTAGGCAGGTTCTGGTCGGGGCTAGTTCCCTGCGCGGTCCAGGTGGTCAGGGGAGGGCCTAAATCTCTCGCTGCCAGTGGATCGTGCGGATGGCACTGTCCGCAGGACTCCTGCAGAGCAAGCAGGGGCCCCAGGTACGCTAGAGAAGACGAACCAGCAGCAGCCCCGAAACCTTGGCCTGAATGAGTAAAAGGAAAAGCCCCGTCTCGTTAGTTAAATCACCACCGCAGTTCCCCAAATCCTGAGCAACAGGCCTGCGCGCCCAAAAAAATCCAAGACGCGAAACTCGCTCACACTGCCCGGCAGCTACTCTCGGGGCGCCGGAGCCGGCGGCAAGACTTTCCGGCTAGGCGCACGGCCCGGTACTGTGGAGCCGGTCCCCAACTCCCGGGCCGAAGCCGAAAGCACGCGCAGCCTCTCCCACTCTCTGGGCCTGAGACCCTTCACCAGGCCCGCGCGCGGCAAGACTTTCCGGGCCAGTCCCCAACTCCCGAGCCAGCGCCGAAAGCACGCGCTGCCTCTCCCCCTCCGCGGGCTTGCGACCCTTCACCAGACCCGCCCGCGACACTTCCAGGCTGGGCGCACAGCCGCGTACTGCAGGGCCGGTTACCAACCCCCCGGCCGGCGCCGAAAGCAAGCGCTGCTCCTCCCCCTCCCCGGGCCTGCGACCCTTCACCAGGCCGGCGCGCAGCATCCCGGCCCAACCGCACTTCAGCCAAGAGCCCGAAGGTTCCGCGCGAAAGACCTTTCCCTAAAGAGAACCTGCCCGAGAGGGAACCCGACCCACACGGATCGCCGCCTGCCGCCGGCGACAAGCGGGGCCGATGCAAGCGTCTGGCTTCGCACGTGCACGGTAAGCGGGCAGTAGGTGGTGCCGTTCGGACTCCAGCGCTTGTCTTCCATCCGTGCCCGACCCGCTCCTCGGGATTTGGAGGTACTTACCTTGCGTTTCTCAGTCCGAGAGTCAGAGTCAGACATTGGGGGAACAAGGGCCAAGGGAAGGGCGCCTAGGCGGTGGCGGCGGGAGCGCAGCGAACCGAATACGACAATGCGATCGCAGCGTGGCAGGGTTCACAGGGCGGCTGCAAAAAGTGAGTGGTGGTAGTGGCAGCGCCGGCGCCAGACGCAGAACTCCAACAAACAGCAGACCGGGCGGCTGCGCGGAGCGAAGTGAAACCTGCTCAGCCGTGCAGCCCAGCTCTGGCTGGCGGCCCGACGCCCGCGCCCAATCACTGCGGACCCCGCCCCCGCTAGGTCCCGCCCCGGCGCGCAAGCTAGCAAGCTCCGCCCCAGCGGCGCCGCAGCCGCCGGCGCGTGCAGGCTCGGACAGGTAAAGGCGGAGTGGCCCCACTGGGTTGCTTGCCGCGCGCGCCGGCGACCCTGGCTTGTTTACCGGAGTGACTCGGCTTGGTGGCGGCTATGTGCGCGCCCATCCCCCACCCCGAAGTGTATCCTAGCTTCCCGTTCATCTCCCCTAACCCGGTGGCCGCCGCGGCGTGCGCAGCACAGAGGGGGCGCTCCGGTCACAGCTTCCGCTGGCCCAGCCGGCCGAGGAAAGCTTCAGGAGGTGCACTGCACCCTCACTGTGCCCAGTTTCTAAGCCACTCTGGGGCAGGCACGAAGACTCTCTTGGTCCTCGAGAAGGCGCAGGGCGAGGTCTTTGAGCTCTCCTCCCGCCGAGGGTCCCTTGCGCCCGGCGGGACGCAGATCAGTAGGCTGCACATCTTCCTCACCCACTCCTGTCGCGGAACTCAGGCACCCTCCTCCTGCCACCTCGCAGGGTGTCTCCAGCTTTTCTTCCGCGCCCAGTCTCCCTAACAGACACAGCTTGTGGGGACAGAAGGTGCCCAGAAAATGGCCAGGCGTGGTCCCAGTGGGCGTCTTCGCCTCCCGGGGGTGTTCGGGAGACATGTGCAGAGCAGGTAAAATAGGGAAATGAAAAAAGCACTCAGAAAAAAATCCTTTTAGGAAAAATAAAAAGCCGAGGTGAGTGGCGGCCTCCAAGTGAGAGAGAAGGTTGTGCCTTACACTCGGCTAGCACCCCGGAGATTTGTTGGGTTTGCAGATAAGCTCGCAGGAGCTGTCCTTCGACGGGCTGAGGCCAGTGAAGGCAGAACAGCAGAGTTCAGGCCCCGGTGCGGGGGCGCAAAACACCCTGTCCCTCCTCCCCTCGCGCCCCCATCCCTTTCCTCCTTGAAGTCCGCGGCACCACACTCTCTTCCTCCCTAGAGACCAAACTCCATGCCGCCCGTCCAGTCCTCTGAGTCTGCACCTGGGTTTGCTCTCTCAACGCGTGGCTGCCGCCCCAACCTCTCCTCTTCTCTCTGCTCCCGAGCGCCTCAGTTCCCCAGCCCCGGCTTCTAGACAACTAACTGCAGCAGCGGGGTGTGAGGTGGGTCAGGAAATTGAACATCCCGCAGGGGACGTCAGGCTAGTTAGATTAAGGAAAGGGGCCACCCTACTCAGCACCCCAGCCGGCAGGGAGAAGGACGGGGTCTTGTCGCACAGGAGCAAGTGAGGAGGCGTTGTCCTGCGGTCGGGCCACCTGGATCAGTTTTTAAATTCATAAGCACATCTGTAACGTCAGTGGGATACAGCACAGCCCCAGGTCAAAGTCTCAGCGCATTCTCAGGTGAGCTCTGAGCTAAGTGATAAAGACCATGGGTTCCCGGAGCAGCTGGAGGACGCGCGCCGGGCCCCGCCCAGTTATTTCGCTGCAAGAGGGGAAAGGCATGGGTGTGGACGCGGCTAAGTAGACTCGCAGGCCGGAGATCTGCCCTGACCCGGCCTCGCAGTTCCTACCGCCGAAGAACACTGCTCTTTGGCCATCCGGTTTCGCACCCGGGGAAAAGCAACGCAACCTGCTGCACAGGCTGAGATCCCCAAGTTCGCCCCACGCAGCAATGCTCCGCGCTTGCCTCGGTGTCGGGTGGTGCAGACAGGGACCGGAAAAGAACCACGCAGAAGAAAGCCCTATTTCTTGTTGTCTGTTCCTGTGCAGCCTTGCAGCCTCACCGCCCCCACGTAGCTAGCTCTGGCGACCCTGTGAACACTTTGAAAAACAAAGGAGTCGGGGGAAGCAACGCACTAGGGCTACTTGGGGCACTAAAAGGAAGCCGGCCAAAGTTGGCGGTTCCTGCGCCCCTGAGACCCGGGCAGCGTCAGGGGCCGCAAGCCCTTGCGGCCTTCTCCAGCGGCGTAGGGAGGTTCTCCCGGAACCGGGCCGGAGCGCAGAGAATGCAGTGTGTGAAGGGCCCATGAGTTTTATGTCGCTTGCAGTGGACGCGGGCAGAGCGGTGTCCCTTTCTGCCCCTGCCAAGAGACTAAGGGGAGGGAGACGGGAGGATGGCTTGGATTGACAGAAACAAGAATGAAGTCGGGCAGCCGGGATCTGAGAAATGGGAAATCCATGGCCCTTGCCCAGGACCACAGGAGTTGCTGAAGTGGTCTCTCCTAGTTCCGAAATTGCCAGGCCCGCCTCACCGCCCTCTGCCAGCAGCGGGAACGACTTCCATATCGCTTAATTTCTTTACTAAACGTTTCACCTATGCTCTTCTTAAGGACAGGTTACGGCGTTAGTTGGTAAAAATGTTTTCCGCGCCTTGTCTTGCCGTCCGGAAACCGCCGACCTGGGAGGACAAGGCGAGTTCTTGCTTTGCTTAGAGCAAAACTCCAGGCTGCCACTTCCTTCTCCCCGTCCGTGCTTTTCCTCGCAGAGCCCCACAACGTCTGATTCACTGGAAAAGCATCACTTGCTGAGCCCAACCTTTTTGCCCGCTTGCGGAAGGAGTGGAGCTTTTTGCTTTTCTAAGGGTGTTTGCTTTTTTTTTTCTTTCACTTGGCACCGCAGCTTTTCTAAATCACTGGGAATCTGAGTCACCGTTGACAGCAGGAGACCTTTGGCGGCACCCGGCTGTGGGGCGCGCTCGCGGGGGTGAGCCCACCCTGATTGTCTAGGCGATCGGGCACCAAGCTGGGAGAGGTTGCAGCCAGACCAAGCTGGTTTCAGGGAAAGGACACAGGGATCCAGCGCACCAGGCGACCCTCTGGATCTCTTTCCTAGCAGCCAGCCTCGGCGGGACCTTCGCTCTGCCACCACAATCTCGGAGAGCGGCGGCCCAGCGTGTGCCAGCCCGGCCTCAGCCCCAGCTCCAGGCGTCAGTGGAGCGAACGTCGTGGCAGCTGCAGGCGGGCCACCACACTTCCCGCCACACCCGTTACAGCTTGGCTCCCAGCTTGGGCAGCTGGGAGCGCGCCCCTTCCCGCGCCACGGGTTGCAGCGGTGCAGGGTAGAAGGCCCAAGCGGCCCGCGGGTTGGAGATTCCGGCGATTGGTGCATGGAGGTTGGTGTATGGAATGTTAAAGGCGGCTATCACCCTCAGGGCATCATCCTTCAACGAGTCGCACAAATCCAGCAACTGCAAAACACGACACAAAGGGACAGGTCAGATGTTGGCGCAGTCACAGCGATTAAGTGTCACGGCTTTCCGCCCACCCCCAAGCACCCGCACACCCAGAGGCCCCAGAAACGAGTTTCCCTTTGGATTCTCCGGTGGAAACTGTTGGCCATGAATAACGCTCGGAAGCCTTTTTTATTTTAGAAATTTCCAGTTCTTATCCCTAGCCCAATGGAAACCCAGGTTTTTTCCGTAAAGGGGTGGGCGTGAACATGGGAGCGGCTGTGCCCCTAAATTAGTCGGGAACTCGAGACCAAGGTCTGAGAATTTATTAATGTTCCCTCCCCGTCCCTCCTAGGTCCTTCCTTCCTGGTTCTAACGTCCGCTCCTCTCCCTTTTCTTCCCCTGCTATCCCCTCCAATCCACCTCTGGAGTGCCTGGGGTGCCACCCTCTGGCGCGCAGAGGCAACTGAACAGGAAGAGCCTTAGAACAGGTGAACCAGAGGAGACCTGCTCCAGTCTCCCCAGACTAGCGCCTTCGGACCTGGCTGGCAGTAGGCTACGATTCTTGAAAATTCAGTACAGTGAGACGGCGGACCAATGATAAGCACCTTCCACCTGGCTGCTGCGGAAAATCGATCTGCTGTTAATGCCAATGTCAAGGAACGCCATGGATGCCCTCGCTTGTTCTGGCAGCCATTGGAAGGCAGGGATAAGACAATCCTGGCAGATAGGAGAAGGGAGATGCAAGCCAGTGTTTTGGAAGCTGCACTAGTGTATTTTTATTTCATTTTCCATGGCTTAGGTGCCAGTGTATTTTTTTTATTCCCTGAAAAAAAGAAATTTACCAAAATAATATTATTTTTTCTAAAACTACACAAGGGCAGAGGGACAGCTTACTTTCTTCTAATCTACTACACATTGTACTCCATTTTTCAAATTTCCAGCCAGTCGTAAATTTGTTTCACTCCCCAAATCACAGTAAATCCCCAGGTTTTCATGGTTTATTTTTATGAGTTTAACATCACCACTTACACCAGCCCCACGTTTGCCTGCACGTGGTGGTCATCTCTGAGCCGCACTGATGTTGTTTAGATCACAGTTTCCTTTGCAGCAAACCAAAATGCCATTTCAGGTTTTCAGACACAGTGAGGTCCCAAGAAGGAGGATGGGGCTTAGGGGATGGGGGATGTAGAGGGTAGGGATATGGTGGGGGAAGAACATGAATTGTAGTAGTCCAACAATACATCTTCCCTGAAAATGTGCTCTATTACATCTGTAATTTCTAATGAAAAAGTTCATTCTTCACCATGTGGTTAAGCATCATCAAATCAGTACTGAAAATACCTTTGATCATATTTGCAAGATGCACTAAAATGAACTTTCACTGACCAAGATTTCAAAGTTTATAATTAATACTCTTGAGAAATCCCTGACTAATCTGTTGACTCTCAATGTCTTTAACCACACAGTTCAAAACCATGAGGTGGCGTACACAGCCCCTAAACTTTCCACCTATTGTCATATGATTATTCAAGATAATTTTCCCTTTGGGTTTGCATTATGAAACTCAACCAGCTTTGGTAATATATTCACCAGTGGGGGAAATACAATGATTTGAATGAGTGTAAAATAGAGTATGGGTTTTGTCTACCTAGTGTCAAATACAGAACGTAGGGCCAGAGGTAGGAATTAAAGGAGGCAGATTTCAATATAAGAAAAACTTTTGCCGGGCGCGGTGGCTCAAGCCTGTAATCCCAGCACTTTGGGAGGCCAAGGCGGGTGGATCACGAGGTCAAGAGATCGAGACCATCCTGGTCAACATGGTGAAACCCCGTCTCTACTAAAACTGCAAAAAATTAGCTAGGCATGGTGGCGCGTGCCTGTAATCTCAGCTACTCAGGAGGCTGAGGCAGGAGAATTGCCTGAACCCAGGAGGCGGAGGTTGCGGTGAGCCGAGATCGCGCCATTGCACTCTAGCCTGGGTAACATGAGTGAAACTCCGTCTCAAAAAAATAAAAATAAAAAAAATAAAAAAAAAAAAGAAAAACTTTTAAAAAGTGAAAAGGAACCCAATAGCTAGTGAAAAAGAGGGTTTCTTTACTCATAAATGTTCAGGGAGTGTGTTCTCCAATGGCACTCTAGGGAGGAACAATGAACTGGCTATGAAGAGGAGCTGACTGCCAACATCCTTTCTAAATCTAAACTTCTGGGGCAGCCTAAAATAACTCCTCCTACCCTTCTCCATTCTTCATACATTGCAACAGAAACCCCAAAATGATTATTGTCTCTATGGATGGATCTGGCATCATTCCTGTTAGTTAATGTTTGACTCTGATTCCAGGTAACCACCCACCTCTGTTCCTGGCTGTCAGGATAACAATAATTACCATCCTTTCATTCACAGCATGTGTGCTGGATTCCTACCCAGTCTTAAGTACAATGCTGAACTTTAGAGGTTTAATGGTATACGCTGCAGGAATGGGTCTCACATCGTGAAACTGTTGAGGTGTTTTAAAGACTAAAAGATACATGATCTCTTTAATACAAAATAAATGAGTAGATAATATAGCATTGATTATTACGTATAGTATTTTTATAACTAGGGAGTAATTTTATTTGGGGCTAAGCAGCATGTTATTAAAGTTTAGTCTTGTTACCAAACATGCTTCCATACTATAAACATAAAAATTGCACACACTGTAGGGGTCCCCTGCCCTGCCAGTTTATGACCAATTTATGCTGGATAAAGTACCTCAAGCTTGCCCATATCTTTACAAAGAAAATTCATCAGCTTTTGAAAAACACAAATGAATAGGTATACTTTAAAAATAAAAGAGCATGAACAAGTTATAGGTTCTTGTAAAAAAATGTTTTTAAGGTCAAACCTAAACATGGGCACTATCATTCTACAGGCAATAAGAATGTAAAATCAACTGCAAATAGCCAGTGAATGAAATTTGAGAATATCTGCTTTAAAGAAAGCAGAAGCACTCAGCCCTCAAGGGATGACACTGGGTTTGATTATGTTAATATGTGTACTTGGGAGGGAGGGAAAATTGTAATGTCAGTTTGGCTTCCCACTTTCATCTAGTTGCAGTACTCAATTTGTTTTTCTGCTCTTTTTTGACTCTCCCTATATTTTCCTTATTTCAGTTGGGAGAATAGGATGGCCAAGGATGGGCAATGACTAAGCTTTGCAGTCTTCTAAACAAACCATATTTTCCCAGCATGGCCTGGTGTTAATCATACAATAGATGTTCAAGGTGGGAAGTGCCCAGTGCGCTTGCAGGGACACCTCAGCTTTCCTAGGACTCCATGCAGAAGGTTTTCCTGCCTCTTCTCATATGCCTCACCTCTATTCTCAGCATAGTATGACTACATGCTGTTTTATGTGAAAAATCCCTTATCCCAATTTGAAATGTCTCTTCATTAGCCCATTTCTTGTCTGGCTACCTTGGTAGAGTCTTTTTCTCCATCCCTTAAATCTGGGCTGAGTTATGACTTGCTTTGCCAATAGAATATGGGGAACATGTCACAGGGTGAATTCCAGAGCTTAGGCTTTAAGAAACTTTGAATCCCCCATTATCACTCTTCTATAACCCTGAGAACATCTGCTGTGCAGAAGCCCAGTCTAGCCTGGTGGAGGACAAAAGGCCATGTAGAGATGGACCAAGGTGCCTTGGCCGACAGCCAGCACCTACTGCCAGATATGAAAGAGAGGCCATCTTGGACATCCTAGTCCTGTTGAACTCAGATAACTGCAGCCACAGGAGTGATCCCAAGTAAGGCTAGTCAAAGAACTGTCCAGGCTGCCTACCTACAGAATTAGTATTAGTCATTATTACTTGCTAATGCACAGAAATAGAAACTTTAAATCTGACTAAGCAAAACAACAAACTTGCTATAAGGCATCAATTCCACCTCCTTTCCAAAAAGAATCTCCATGTAGCCAACTATTACTTTCTAACTGATTGTTAGATATTGGTGAGCTATGAATGTAATTTCCTGTCCATTCTTTTTCAGTTGACTTCATTTTAGATTATAGATGTTGAGGTAGAAACTTTACAAGAAGGGGAACCTTAATTAATCATCATCTTTTAATCTAAAAGATGTAACGAGGGACTAAGATTAAAGCTGTTGGTAAAATGAGGTTTCTGTGTTACTTGTGGCTGTCATTTGTCACCTTTGCTTCTGCTGTGTCATAACTGGCATTCTGGCAGGTGCCTCGGGCCACATTTATTCCATGCTTGTCTCGCCCAACCCTAGTCCCCAATCAACAATTTGTAGCTTGTTTACTCCAGCCTTTGCCAAGGATCCATCTCCACCATGCAGTATCTGTGTGTTCCACATTCCATCCTGGGGGGGCAGGCAGGTAAAGGAAATGAGGTACAGAAGGCAGCTACTTAGCTATCCCTGACTTGTCAGTCTGCTGTATCTCCAGCATTTTTATAACAATGCTATGTAGCAACATGTGGCACTTTACATTTATAAGCAAGGTCTTCTGTGTTCTACCCCATGCTGACATTGGCTGGACAACTACTGTGTGCCAGATTACAGAGGAGGGCTTTATGTTCACTGTCTTATTTGGTATTCATAATAACTCTATCAGATATCAATCCATTTTACAGATGAGAAAACCAAGGCTTAAAGAATTTAAGTCACATACCTTGTTTCAAGTTACATCCCTTGTAACTGCTGCGACTAGAGTTTTAATCCAGGGCTTTTTGTTTCTATAGCCTTGTCTGTCCTTCTGCCTCGATCTTTTCCCCCAGTGCCTCACTGCTTTGAGTTGCTGGAGGTTATGTGGTGTTGCACTGAGGAAATGCACTGTGGCAGATGTGTGACCCTGGATGTTCTCCCTAAGTCAGAATCTGTATTCTGTGTGTGCCTGCTGTGGAGAACATGAATCTGCCCAGCCACACTGGCTCGGATTCCCTGAGAGGACCCCAGTAATGGGGTCCAGGGGCACTCTATGATGTTGCCACCAGAGGAAGGTGCCAAGGACATCGGCTTCAGAG